CTGCAGATAAAGTTTTAATTGTTGGTGATTTTAATATCCATGTTGATAATGAAAAAGATGCATTGGGATCAGCATTCACAGACATTCTGAACTCTATTGGACGTGTCAGGACCTACTCATTGTCAATATCATACTCTAGATTTAATACTGTGACATGGAATTGATGTCGATGGTGTCGATGACAAATCGTACTTATCTGACCTCCATCAATTCGTAGCAGTGAATGAAGAGGTATCATATCGATCACAAGTGCAGTATGGAGTACCTCAAGGCTCAGTACTGGGGCCGTTACTTTTTACGCTTTATATGTTACCCTTGGGAGTAGTGGTTAAACGGATCGTAGTTGATCCGTGATTCGTACGGACCAAGCCCCACGGTTCAGCACGAATGTGATCCGCGGATTAATTGCAGAATTTAACCATAATAGAGTAAAAGTTTATCAATTGTACGTGTTTACACAAGCAAGCGATTTTAAACCATTCTAGCGAAAGAAAAGGCAAAATGGAACTCGATTCGTTACTCGCGTGCTGTTTTCTATCACAGCCGCACAAACATGAAGCTCGCACATGCAGAGAGGCACGTTTGACTGCGCGCGAACACCGAACTGAACCATCTTTCTGATCTCATTCACTCTTTGCCTTTGAACTAGTCTCGCGTAGCCAGACCTTCAGACATTACGCTCCCAGTATCACAAGTGGTGTCAGAAGTGGGATGGCCAGCCGCAAGACAGTGCCTGTTGGAAGACGGACCAGGAAGGGTCTAAGGTCCCAGAGAAAGACTGTTCTGGAGGATGTGGCTTGGGACACACTGGACGAGGAGGAAGAGAATGCCGGGGCATGCTTCAAAGCCAGTTCTCCTCAGCACACACCAGTTACCACCACCACAGAGAGTGACATGGTGTCTGTAATGCGAGACTTTCTGGCAGCCCAGCAGAAACGGGAGGAAGGTCTCATATACGAACTCAGGGGACTGCGAGAATCAATACAACGACAGAACACAAAAGAGTCTCCTCAGAGTCTACGCTTAGAATTACCGAAGCCTGCAGCTTCTCGCAACATGGCATCATCAGTTTTTGTTCAATAAACTTTTAATTGTTAAACCTTTTATGCAATATTACGTCTGTGGTGTTATTTAAAAATGTATGAACAATTGAACATTTCTTTTAAAAACTGAAATTTAAATGATCAATGAAACTGAACCCTTAAAGTAATTTATTTATTTATTAATTATTACCTAAAGTTGCATATCCCTGCTCATTTTAGAACAAACCAAAATTTTACTTCAAATATTGGTAACACCATAGACATAAGTGGTTGTCACCAGTGTTTGATAAAATTATTTAAAAATCAAAATGTTCTTAAGCTTCTATTTTAATTGATATAGCATATTAAACAAATTTTAAATGCATAGCAATACATTTTATATATATATAAAGAAATTTACTCATTTGCCGCCCCAATTGAAGAATGACCCATCTAATAGTAAACGTTCAATAGCAATAGATGTATTGCAGATGAGCAGATACTCTAAAAATAGAAGAGGATATAGTGTGCGGTTTGTATAAACTACATCCTTTTTAATTTTTTTGTGTTGTGGAAAAAAGTTGCAAAAGTTTGGAACAACATATAATGGTGAGTAAATGATGGTTTCATCAAATATTCTTTGATCTGCTGAGCAGTAAAGAGTTTCACCAGAAAGTATCAGAAACATTTAATGAAATCCTTGTATTACTGATACGAATAAAACAGTCTTTAAAAACAAAACCTACTTCTTAAAAACAAAACTTACTTGTGTCATCATGATAGTATGAATATTACTTTTTTTTTTTTTTATTACAGAATTCCATGGAGGTGTAGCTCATTATGATTAAAATGACTTACTTCCTCCTTGGAAGAAGCCAGTGATGTAATCTTATTGTTCCTGTGGTGTGAACCTTGTCCCATTGTCATTGATTCATTGCTCCAACTTCCTCTTTGGTTAAAAAGTTGACAGATCTGTAATGAGTCTCTATGTCATAGGCAGCATGCTCATCATGTGATGTGTGTCTGTATTTATTTTATCAAGTAGGATTTCAAAACAGCCTTAGAAGTAAACACTATGCATGTTTAAGGTAAAAAAAGTTATAAAATACTGTTTGTTTTTTTATTCATTAGGAAAAAGAGCCAAGCCTGTTCCACAGAATCAAGAGCCTGGAGGAATATTATTAATATTCGTCAAATATTATTTTAATAGAATAATAATAGTCTTAAATATGTGCCATAGTTAAATATGTGCCAATGTATATTTGATGGGTTTCCCCATCTGAGTCCTGGTTCCTCCAAAGATTTCTTCCTATCTATTTGAAAATCATCAGTTTTCATCTGTACAGTCTACAAAGCAGGCAATGTAGATCGATTCCGGAAAAGTATTATATTGTTTTACTTGGGAGATATCATCTGTAGATAACACATTAATGTGGTTATCTTTGCTGATGTTTCTCTATTATGTGTCTGTTGTCTATAAATATGCCAATCCTAAAGAGCTGCTATACTGTTTTTTTTCTTTAACAATGACAAAGATCTATTCTATTCTATTCTATTCTATTCAATTCTATTCTATTCTATTCTATCCTATCCTATTCTAAAATCTTAGAGATTTTTCCTTGCAACAGTCACCTTTGGGTTGCATACTGTGGAAGACACTGTTGTTTGTTGTTTGTAAGACACTGTTGTTTTGTAGAGATGCTTTGGTAAATACTTAAAGGTGTTTATTGTGAAGGATGCCAAGAATTGATAACCATAATCACCATCATAAAATAAAATGGAAAGTTAAGGATGGCATTTCTTTTCTTTTCTTTTCTTTTCTTTTCTTTTCTATTTTACAGAAGCACTCAAGTTTGTCTGAAATCCGTAATTTTGTGCAAAATCTAATGATCCATTTTATCCACCAATTTGAGAATGATCCAAAGAGCATCTTGTGCTTCAATATAAGCAAAGAAATCTGATCTTTAAACAAAGGAGTTCACACACTCAGTGCCATAAAATTGCCGATTTTATTAATGACCAAAAAATAGGGCAGAATTTTTTTTATCTTTACTCATTTTGCATCACAATGTTTGATTTCACTATATATTAGACATGCTATATTACAATATCATGGTCCACTGTGTCAAAACATCAGATAAGTCTGAAAGTCAGACTGAAAATATGGCTTAAATGCTTCTTTTTGTGTCATCTCCAGGTGCTCTGACTGAATGCTACGATGAGCTGGGGAACCGCTACCAACTGCCCGTCTACTGCCTCTCCCCTCCTGTCAACATGATCGAGGAAAAGAGCGAGTCGGAGACCATTGAGATCCCAGAAGCTCCAGCTAGCGAAGGCCCGGAGTGCCAGTTGCGTCTGCGTCTCTCCACGGGACGAGATCTACGCCTGGCCGTTCGCACCAGCGACAATGTCCAGCAGATGAAGCGCCGTCTGCAAACCCAGGAAGGTGTATTGGCCACCAGCCAGCGCTGGTTCTTCTCAGGCCAACCACTCGCTGACAAGATGAAGCTGGAAGAACTGAAGATCTCCAGAGACTATGTCGTCCAGGTGATTGTCAGCCAGCCTCCCACAACCCCACCACTGCCGCAGAACCCCACTCCTGTGGAAAACTAATGCCTCATTGGGGATATTAACCACCACACCAAGTGCGCATGTGAGAGGATATCAATGTGCATAGGCTGCAAGATTATTCAGAAGATTTCTCTATTTTTGGATTTGCCATTCGAGTCTAGAGTGATGAACCTCTAGAGGCTTCTCCCTTCAAACACTCACTGCCTTTGACTTATAGCTTTTCTAAGGGAGTTGAGACTCAGATTTTCTGTTTAAAAGCCTCAGGTCTAGAAAACTGGAGCCCTGAATTGATCAAGAGAAGTCCAAAAAGTATGGATTTGGCAAAGGAAACTTAATAATGCTTTGTTATTTTTAAGATTATGGAGTTATAAGCTTCATATTCTTTTCTCTTTTTTTCTTGTGACGAGATCATATGTCTGCAAGGCAGACCAGAAGTGTGGACCTACCTGTGTCTGTAAGAACTTGAATTCTGAAACAGAGACACTTGGGGCCAAAAGGACATTTTAAACTGCTATTGGCTTTTAGCAATAGGAAAATCACTCGGACTGTTTTCATATTTTTTTAGTTTTTATTAAAAACTCTGTAACCAAAAATATATAAAGATTTTTAAAAAGAGAAGATCTGTTACATGTCACAAAAACAATGTCAGTTTTGGTTTCTCCGATTGTCCAGCATCTTTAATCCCTGTTTTTTGTTTTGTTTTGTTATTTTCAGATAACCTTACAATTACATAAATTCTCTAAACAGCATTCGTTCAACTCTTTCATTTCAAACGAGGGTACGTTTATTAGTCATGTAGACAAGTAGATCAGCTGTTTGCCATTTGCCTCATTTTTAATCATGTGCTTTTAGTGGAGGTGGTGGTCGTCACATTTTGCAGATAGATTTCAGTCCAGGGAGTTATTCAAATTGATTTCCTCCAACAAACATATTTAATTTTCTCACTCTCTGTCAAACCGTATGCAGAAAAGTGTGAAATTGGAATATAAAAATATACATGTTTTTATTTTTTGTTTTCCTTTATGTTGAGAGGGATAGTTGGGCAGGAAATGACGAGGAGCAGTGATAATATGTATATAGACAGAAAATAACAGGAACCAGACTCAAATAAGCAGCACAGCTCAATATGCCATAGTATGTGTGCTGCTGACTGCTATTCTGCAACTCTTAACTGTTTTTAAATGGATTCAGGGCTTTGTCCTATTGAAAAGAATTAAGAGTTGAAAAGAGGGGGAAAAACAAAATATCAAATATCAAAACAAGTTTTATTTATTTTTTTGGAAATATGGTAAATATTTCAAGGAATATTTTATATATTTAATTTTTATTTAATTAAAATGTGTTTTGTGTGTGTACATTTAATTTAATGAAATACAGCAAATATTCCAAGCAAAAATCATTTTAATATATTTATTCATAATTAAAGTATTTATATTTAATATATGCCACTTGGTTTGATATTTATATTAATTAATTCTTGGTAATAATACAAAATATCCACATCACTTTTTGTGCAGAAGTCTGTTCTAGGTACAACGGTTTTATTTGACCCCACTTATGAGTTTCATCATGGTTGAAGCATATAGGGGTAACCATGTTTAATGAGACAATTGGCTTGGATTTGTGTTTTTCCATGTGTGACCACCTGTGTGAGCCTCAGCTCTAACTCACAAGTTAAATATATGCTTTATTCAGCCTATTCAATTAGTCTTCTGTGTTATGATGGGGAAGTCACAGTTCACCCTTTTATAGGTGGGTTTTTATAGAGGTGTTGCTGTTAATAATAAATAAAATTAGGTTTTTAGGCCATCATTAATTCACATATTAGAGGAACTGACGGAACTATACACAATAACAAATATATAGGGATATTATATTATATTATATTATATATGCTTATAAAAGAAATCTTTATTGTGGATACATTAATGATATGGTCAAATAAACTCATCAACATGAACTTATATCAAACAATCCCTAAAGGAACAGTTTCAGTCACACTTTGATAGGAAAGGAAGAATTGTCTAAAATCGTGAAATCATCTAAATTAACAACACGTTTTAATAGTGAAGTGACATGTGGCCGAGTATGGTGACCTATACTCGGAAATTGTGCTCTGCATTTAACCCATCCAAGTGCACACACACAGTAGTGAACACACACACACACACACACGGAGCAGTGGGCAGCCATATTGCTGCGACGCCCCACACCGACAATGCCTGCTGGACCTGAGACTCGAACCTGCAACCTTCGGATTACAAGTCCGACCCTATACCTACCAAGCTATAAATATATTAAAAAAAAGATGTTTCCAGAAGTCATAGAACCTCTTCTTAATATTATGAATTCATCATTATTATAAGGATATGTCCCAAAAACTTTAAAGCTTGGCCTTGTATTAAAAAACCACAGCTAGATACTAGAGAATTAGTTAACTACAGACTGCTTTCAAATCTCCCTTTTCAATCAAAAATACTAGCAAAAGTGGTGTCTTCACATAGTTATGTTCCTTCTTGGAATGAAATGGTATTGTAATAATTACTGTATTTAATTAGCCGCTGCCACCACCTTTAATTCTTTAAGCCAGTGTGGTCTGGCACCAGAAGACAACACACCACCATGACTTCAATCACAACAGGTAATTTTATTAAGAGAAGGGACTGCAGGACAGGCTAAACACAACCTAGAAAGCCTTAGGGCAGTGTGCTACATAAATTCACTCACTTCATTGGTGACAGCTCATAAGATCAACTACAAACAGTATCACTTCAAACTCATGTAAAACCGCATCTCATGCACGTGCAAAATGATGCCTGCCCCCTAAACCCTCCATTTCAGTCTTACCCACTCTCACTGTCACCCTCTATTTTTACAAGAAACACAACTTTATTAAATACATCAGTTTAAAATGAACACATAAAACCACTTAATTCGCCCCACGGTGATGCTGCCCCTCCCAGGGGGTGGGTCTCAGCCACAAAAAGAGAGGACAGCAATAGAAGCCTGTTCAGAATGGGCATGGTCCATACGCTGGCACGCCCTGGCAGTTCAACAGTTAAATAACACACACAATAAAGAACGACGGCACTCCTAACTCCCCGTCCCTACTTACAGGGTGAGAACCCACAGGGTGAGAACCCTGTCCCCGCTATCTATCTTCATAGTTGGCAGCTCTTAACGACCGCGAACGACACCCCCCTCCCAACAATATCTGAGTACTGCCGTCCTATTTCGGCTTGTAAATAGACAGACAGCCAGCCCACATCCATTCTCTTTTGCACTCTTTTTAATCCTTCTCACCCCAGTCTCTGAATACACAGATCACACCCTCGTTCCTCGTTCCCCAATCAGTCTCTTTAATTAGTTGTCAGGACAGTGTTCAGTCTCATTGATTAGTTGACAGTACGATATTCCAAACACAACACACATCACAGTATCTCCAAGGAATTGCAGTCAGGGTTAAGACCATTTCATACCACTGAAACTTCACTCATCAGAGTTACAAATGACTTGCACCTATCTTCTGATCATGGTTGTATCTTTCTATGAAGTCCTATTGGACCTCATTGCTGCCTTTGATACCATCAACAACAACATTCTTTTGGACAGGCTCGAAAATTATGTTGGCATTAGTAGAATAGCATTTCAATTGCAATTCAAAATATACTTTTCTGACCGTTATCAGAAAACTTATTTGAGTATCTTGGAATTCCCGTTAATTCTATTAGTTTGGTTTGTGGTTAAACGCTATGATGATAAAGGTGTGCACTTTCTCTTGTGTTCAGCAATTTTTCCCTAGAATGTGTAACTCATACCAGGACAGTGATTGTGGCATAAATGTACAAGTGCCACTACCACCTAAATATCTGGATGTTGTGATTATGTCCATACCCAGACAGCAGACCGTTTCAGCCCAGATCCGGCCCACATCTGGCCCGCATGGATTTCACATGGGCCAGATGTGGGCCGGATCTGGGCCAACACTATGTTGCTGTCTGGGTATTAACATGCTCTACATTTGCATTTGGCAGCAGTGACCTAATTAATGTTCAAATTTAGCTTCACCAGAAAGAGCATGTGATGCCCATATTGATTTCTTTCATATATCTATAAAAATATGTGGGATCAGTAAGATTTTTAATGTTTTTTTAAAGTCTCAAAGCTGCATATATTAGAGAAAAAAAAACTAATATTGTAAAATAGTATTTCAATTTAAAATAATGCTTTTCTAATTTAATACACTTCAAAATATAATTCATTCATGTGATACAAAGCTACATTTTCATCAGCCATTACTCCATTCTTCAGTGTCACATGATCCTTCAGAAATCAATCTAATATGCTGGTTTATTATCAGTGTTGAAAACGGTTGTGTTGCTTTTTTAAGGATTCTTTGATGAATAAAAAGTTAAAAAGAACAGCATTTATTCAAAATACAATATAAGTCTTTACTATAACTTTTTATCAGTTTAACATCCTTGCTAAATACAAGTATTAATTTATATATATATATATATATATATATATATATAAAAAAAAAAATTGTACTGGTAGTGTGTGTCACACTTCCCTAAGACGAGGAGCGAGGAACGAGGAGACAAGGTGTAAACTAACAACAGTACTTTTAATCCATTAATCCAAGGGGTAACATGGAGCAGACAGGAACACAGGAGACTCAGGGGTAGATGTACAATCTCCGACTAATGACTAATTAACGGGGACATGGGGAGGAAAAACACAGCAAAACCAATCCAGGGGCGTGACATTACTCCCCCCTCCTGGAAGGCGCGTCCCGCACCGTAACAATTCCACCGGGGAGGGGGGAGTGGGCAGACAGAGTCCATGGGGGAGACGATGGAGGGAGGAGACAGGAGGGGCTTGGAGCAGGAGGAGTCCAGCTGGACCCAGGCCACAGCCATAATGACGGCCCATGGTGGAGCCGACGGAGGGAGGAGCCATGGAGGAATGGTGCCCGACTCCAGGGGGCCGACCAACGGCGGCGGAGCAGGTGGTGGAGGAGCCCGAGGCGGAGACGGAGAGCCGATGAGCCAGGGCGATGGGGAGGATCCGGAGGTCCTAGGCGGAGCCAATGGCGTCAGCAACGGATCCGGGAAGCTGCGGTGGAGCCGGAGCGACAGAGGACTGAGGTGGATCTGAGGGGATGAGGCGAAGCCAGAGGAGTGGAGTCCCGAGGCGCAGGATGGTCGACGCCAGACCAAGGCAGAGCCGGAGGGACGAGGGAGCCCGCTGGAGCTAGTGGACTGCCAGGCTGCGGCGGAGAGGAGGGAGCTAGGAGCCATGGTGGAGCCAACAGGTCCACGGGATGAGGCGGAGTCCGAGGCTGGAGGCGGAGTCAAGGGAAACTCCAGCCACAGCGACACTGGAGGATGGCAGTCCCACGGAGCTCGCAACGCATAGATGGTGGGCTGAGGGTGA